TTTCCTTCCTGTCAGTTATATGAGTGGCAAACTATGTCGTTCGTTCTAAATCAGAAGCTTTCATAGATAATGATGAATTTCAGAATAAGGAGTACTTGTTTGAACTGAAAACCAATTATTTCAAGTGAAGCATAAAATTGGAATGATCACTGTTGTTTTGTTGTCGATTAGAAACTTTACTGGCCGTAGGTATGTTTAATGTCATCCACAGACGGAATTCTTTACCTTCTTATTGAATTCCAATTGAACGAAAGCTAATAGCTTGAGTGGAGGAGTTTAGGCGAACCTACTGAGTTTCACCTGTTAAAGTAATGATTCACTGAAGCATGTACATAACTTTTGCAGTAGTTGAGCGTGAACAATTGGCTGAAGAGACACCGATATTGTACAGTCTAACGGTGAGTGACACATCGCCATTGCCGAGGCAAAAAGATGCGGTTGAAGAGAATGAACATCAGTCGAAAGTGGTTGTTGCTACGAAGGCGGCGGGTGGCGACGAGAACAAGGGTGGTACACAACTTGAATCGACAGCTCTGCAGACCGTTCCTGCTGAAAGCACTGCGATCACCGCACAAGAAAAGGATAAGGAGGATGAAAAAATGGAAGTTGACTCAACCACTCCGACGGAAGGTCAAGAAGAAAGCACTGTAAACACTCCGCCAACTTCAACATCTCCAGCCCAAGAAACCGCCGTAAGCAAANCTTCCAAAAGAGCCTTCACCCGCTGCCCAGGAGACTCCAGCACAGACTCAGGAAGCAGTGCCGGAAGCTCAAGCTCAAGCGCAAGCAACAGAACCCACTCCAGAAAGTACTGTTGTGTCTAATCAAGAAGCAACTCCCACTACGCAAGTGAATTGTGCATCTCAAGAAGCTACCTCTGACTCTTCTGCGACCGAGACTAAAGCACCTGAACAAGAGGCAAAAATGCCCGAATCGACAACGCCAACAGTAAATGAAGCAAACAGTACAGAACGAGTTGACTAGTAAAAGTGATAGTCATAATGACTGTGTAATGAATGAAGGATAATGATTTTTCATCGAGTTGTTCGTGTTTATTCCGTTTGATACGATTGAATTATCATTGAATGTTGGTTTTTAATGTTCCAGTATCTCATAATTTTTGTTGTTTTTGAATGCTTTGCGAAATTATTACTTGGAATCGATCATTTCGTTTTTCCAATATTTCGTTTACTCTCAATTTCGGTTTGATCGGTTGTCAATTATATCCCATGCGTGCTACTTCATTGTGTATGTTCATTGTTCGCTTCGAATCATCTTGACTGATCGGACTGTTACGTTACCTGTTTGCAGTGCGATCATAAAACTGTTTATTGGCACAACCATAGTGATCTATGTCATCGAACTGATCAGACGGATAAGCAGATCATGAGACATTGATCAGCGTGATTGAGCGAACAAACGACCCGCTGAAGTACTATTAGTCTCATTCAGTCGAATACATTAATAGTGTCGACGTCATTTTCTCTTTCTTTTGTTCGCTGATAATCAGCGTTGATNNAAGCCGTACTCATTTGGTAAACTTTGTTTCACATTTTCTTTTCAAGTTTTTGTAAATGATAATGAATTAACGCAAATTCATGTTCTCATATACATTGTGTAATTTTCTTGCTGTCACCATCTCATGTAATTCAGTTCATTTTGAATGTTTTCTTCGTTCACCTTTTCCCTAACTCATAAAAGTTTTCATTTCCTAAAATTGTGTTTCATTTTATGTGTTCTCAACACATTTTCCTATTTCATTTTCAATTTGCCACTCAACGATTGATTTTTCCATGTGTTTGTCGCTATTATTCTCTTCCATCGGCTGTTTTCCAGTCGTTCAAAAAGTCAGTGAGGAATTGTCGCATGAGTGTAGTGTATAGTCAACTTTTAAATTCCGTTCGATTGCCATGGATGTATCGCGAGAAGATACATTTTCTGTTTGGATTGATTTAAGCATTTGGATAGAACTTTATTGATGGTTCACGAGTGCTTTCATCGGTGCATTAAGAATAGTTGAATAAGATCACGCGATACCTGAAATTCCTTCTAACAAAGATCAAATTTCAAATGTTGTCAATGAAATGAATGAATGATCAGAAATGTGAAAATATCCAACAATAAACCCATCAATCGCAATTAGCGTTTTCGTCAATTGATTTATCGCTAAAATTACAGTTCAAACAAGTGGTATATGATGAGAATTGACATCGCGTTGAAATAGGTGTAATATTATCTGCGATATCAGCATTTGACAGCGTTAACAGCTCACCGATGGCATCATCAACGTTAGAGACCGATTTGGATGGATTCTTGAAGAGGAATTCGGCGAATCGCATCGCACTTGTGACGGTACGTGTGGAAGTTATATTTATCCGTTACGGTTGAAAATCAGAACGCATTGATTGACTGCTCCTGAAATTGTATGTAGTCCATTGTACGTTTGGTTGAGAAGGGAACGATTAGAGATCGTGCTCTTCCATTGTAAGCATAGAACGACATGCGGGCGTGGAACAACTTAAACACCGATATTTTAGCATCTTGCATTTAGCATCTCTCCTTAGCATGTGTATTTATGAGACTTGATGTTTGTGATTAGATCGGCTGGNATTGTAAGCATAGAACGACATGCGGGCGTGGAACAACTTAAACACCGATATTTTAGCATCTTGCTCTCTCCTTAGCATGTGTATTTATGGGACTTGATGTTTGTGATTAGATCGGCTGGCCCCTATCCGTCAATAATTTTTTGTTACCTGTATATAATCAAGGCATTCGTGCTGAGGAGGAGTTTAACTACCCCCCCCCCCACTCCCTCTTCCAGTCCCTCTGCTTAAATCATCTACTTGAATTGCCGCAAGGAGAATTGAAACAGTGTAGATGGCTCGGTGATTCTTCGCACGTTTGAAGAAAGTCGATTCTAATCTAGAGATGCTTGAGTGGTAATCCGCAGGCAGATTGAAAGTTTTCGCATTGTTTAGATGTGTGATTTATCGTAATGTTATTTATTGTTTATATGAAACATTCACAACTCAACAAGCATCATTTCTATTCCATACTCAATTTATTTGTTTTTCGCCAGTAAAAAATCGGATTTTAAACATTCAGACATTCGATTCTATCAAAAAACGATGTGAAACTTTAAAATGAGACAGGAAATAGAAGTTGTTTTCATTTGCAATTGAAGTGTTGAATTTGATTGGTTTAGAGTGGTGGTACACGAGTTCCGCTGGAGAAGAATGCTGTGCGATTTATTGATAACTTTTCGATGGGAACGAGAGGATCGGCGAGTGCTGAGTGAGTGTCTGTGATCGCTCTTCAACAGATTGATGCATTTGAGATTGTTTAGCACTCATCAATAAAGAAATGACAAGTGCATTGTTCATCACAATTGAAAATTATTGGATTGAGTTGAGCGACGA